CATGCTCCTGCGCGCCGAAGCCTATCAATTAAAACGTATTAGCGTTTCATATAATGTAGATTAGCTATATGATGCTCACTACGTGTTCTTGCGCGCCGAAGCTTATCAATTAAAAATAAAAACTGTTGCCAGCGTGAGAAAAGAAATATCATCGGTTTTATTGATACATACGTACGTATTAGCGTTTTATATAATATAGATTACAAATTACGAAATAATTACAAAGTCACGAAGTTTCCTTGCTTAAGAGAATGGGGCGGAGCCTCTTAACTGTTTCGTTTCGAATGTTTGTTTGCCTCATAACAGGCCTCATATCAATCTCAATCTATACGCATTTCAATCGGGAATAAAACGAAGCTACTTCACTAAACTTAATCACATTTGATGTCCTTAATACTCTGATGGGTCAATCTTAATTAAACTGACTTTGCTGAAAGAAATCTCAATCTGTATGCTATTCAACAGGAAATAAAACGAAGCTATTTCACTAAATTGAATGACATTTAATGTCCTTAATTTAATATCTTTAATATTCGGGTGCGTCAATCTTTAATTAAACTGACTTAACTGGAAGAAACTTTTAATCACATTTAATAATCCTTAATATTCTGATGGGTCAATCTTAATTAAACTGAGTTTTCTGAAAGAAATCTCAATCTGTACGCTATTCAATATGAAATAAAAAGAGGCTATTTCACTAAATTTAATAAGATTTAATATCCTTATGATGAAATTTTTTTTTGTTATAGACATAAAAAATTTTTTTAAAAAATTAATCTTTTTTTATTTTACTAAGTTTAATCAATTTATTTTTTTGTAATCTATATAGTAATGATTTGAATAGCTTTGATTTGATCTCAAACAAAATATGCTATGAAGGTTTTTCTTCGAAATGTAGAATATTTGTTTGAAGTTCTTCCTAAATCTTTCTGAGTTTAAGAAAGAAAAAATTGTACTATCTATGCTAAATTTAAACATTACTAAAATAGTAATTAATTTTAAATTTACATTTAAAGAAGCTTATTAATAATTCAGGTTCCCATTAAAAGATAATTCCATTTTTTTAAAGTATTTCACGGATATAGTTATTTATTCGAGAACATTTTTTATTTAGAATAAGCCGAAAAGTTGAAAGNCATGGCATGGATGTTTCTTTCTCCTTTGTGTGTGATTGTGGGAATGTGACCCGCCCTACAAACGAGTTTGTGGTTGTATGATATGAGCGACGGTGCTCCACCGCCGTGGAGCACCGTCTTAAGCCAATCTTAATTAAACTGAGTTTTTTGAAAGAAATCTCGAATTGTACTCTATTCAATAGGAAATAAAACGAAGCTATTTCACTAAATTTAATAAGATTTAATATCCTTATGATGAAATTTATTTTTGTTATAGATTTAAAAAAAAAATCTTTCTTTATTTTACTAAGCTTAATTAATTAATTAATTTTTTTGTAATCTATATAGTAATGATTTGAATAGCTTTGATTTGATCTCAAACAAATATGCTATGAAGGTTTTTCTTCGAAATGTAGAATATTTGTTTGAAGTTCTTCCTAAATCTTTCTGAGTTTAAGAAAGAAAAAATTGTACTATCTATGCTAAATTTAAACATTACTAAAATAGTAATTAATTTTAAATTTACATTTAAAGAAGCTTATTAATAATTCAGGTTCCCATTAAAAGATAATTCCATTTTTTTAAAGTATTTCACGGATATAGTTATTTATTCGAGAACATTTTTTATTTAGAATAAGCCGAAAAGTTGAAAGAAGGAGTAATATTTACTCAATGAAACAATTTAGAATTTTTTTCGAACGGAAATTACTTTTCTGGAGTTTTTTTTTTAAATAAGTAGGAAAAAAATAAAATTAGATGAACGGTATGTTACAAATGATAAATTGTTAAGATTCAAACAAATTCTAGTTCTATCCTTCCTTTTTTTCTAGTTGTTCTACGAATATTTAACTTTACCCGTTTCTTATGTAAAATAAGAACACCCACGTCTTAGATGTCTCATTATGCAACTGAATCTCTTTTAGGATTTGGCTTTTTTTAGGATTTTTTCTTTTTTTAATTTTAAGGGATACAAATTAAAAAAACCTATCTTAATTTAGAATATCGATCTGAATGAGGAATTTGAATCGATATATTTCATTTTCTACACCTGTTTGATTATATTCTGAAAGAATCTGAAGTTTTCAATTTTAACCGCTTTCCCGATAATCCCGGGTTAACTCGGGTACGAATATTGCTAATATTTATTAACCCGAGAAAATTCGGGCATAGCAGAATTTGTCAGTACGTTTTGTTTTCTCACGTTTTTACACGGCCGAAAGCAACAAAAATAAGTAAATAAATAAAAATATAATGCTGTGATTAGAAGTTTGCTTGGGAGTTATGCTGTTAGATTGTGGGACTGCGAACGTATTTTGTGCTACGATGGTTGCTGACTTTACATGGCAAAAAAGAGTAAACAAAATGGGGTATCCATTTTTCACATTTATTTTCGTCATTTTTCGATTTACTTCAGCGAAAACCATATTTCAGCTCATTCATTTTCAGTTTATGCACACACTAAAATCAGTTTATGAAGTAGACTTGATGCCGCTCCAGACCTGTAAATTCAACTTTCTGACAGTTGCATCAGTATTTTACCCCAAATTAAAACAGCAATGAAGTATGTTTTGCTATTAACCATTTTCACCTTCATTTTTGCAATTTTTCGTTTTATTTCAACGAAAATCATATTTCAGCTCATTAATTTTCAGTTTATGCACACAATAAAATTAATTTATGAATTAGATTTGATGCCGCTCTAGACCTGTAAATTCAACTTTCTGATATAAAATCCAATTTATGACTAGTATTGATAAAATGATCTGATGAAAAAATTTCATATTTCATACATTCATTAAATAATTTCAAAATAATAAACTAATAGTCCTTTGATTATATATTGACAATTACTAATGAAATTTATTCATTAAGTCTGGGGGTTCTGCCGAAAGAAGAGGGTTCCATATAGAGTTCCGCAGCGGAAAAAAATTAGGAACCACTAATCTATCGTAACAATTTTTAACTCTGACCAGACAGAATTTACCTAATCAAAAGCTTTGAATCATAATTTGGTAAGGTAAAAACTTTTAAATATTAACTTTTCAAATTTCATAAGTGTTAAAATTTTGTGTCTTGATTTAACAGAATCATGTAGTTTCTGTTTCACGAATGAATGTTCTCCATTATTTATTGAAATATGTTGAAGAATCTAGAATTCCAGTAAGACTATGAAACTAAATTTTTTTTTCATTTTTAATAATTCTACGATCTATATCGTAAAAGATAGGAAGAATCAAATTTGGGGTGTTGAACTTTTAAAACCTTTTATATTGTATTAAAAGCATATTTGTATAATTTGATAATTAAATAAAATGAAACTACATGCAGTTATGGATGTTTACATAAATCCTATACCGCACTGGTCTTTTCTTAACTTGCCACGGAGTATAAGGATGTCATTTATAAATTGGCAGAACGCTGTCTTGTTTAAAGCAGTGTTCCCCAACTCAAGGTCTGTGGATCAAATTTTACCAGGCCGCCCAGTTCATTGAAATTGAATTTAAATTCTTAGGTTTATACCCCAAATTAAAAATAGTTCCATTAAAATTTTATTTATTTCAAAAAAAGGGGCTCCGAAGGTAGTGACATAAATTTTTTAATGCTTTAGAAAGTAAAAAAAGAAGACCACTGCAACTATTTTCTCTTTCAATTAGTTTTAATTTAAAAAAAATCAATCATCATAACAGGAAATATCATACATAAAACACGAAAGAGCGGCGCGAAATTTACATTGGAACTAATGAAGAACTTTGTCTTCTCTCTCGATCGTGACTAATTGATTTAAGTAAGTTAAAATGTTAAATAACTATATATTTTTTGGTGTAACTGTATTTTATTTTGAAGGGGTGTTTAAATACAATTAAATTAAAATTATTAAATCAAAATAATCTAAAATATAAATCAACGTCGTCGTCCCCCCCAGCGGGTAGCGGTAAAATTATCAAACGTTGACAGGTGATAAAAAGGTTGGGAAACATTGACTGGTGTAAAGGATATTGCATACAAACTGGCAAAATTCTGTCACATGTGAACTTCATGTGCAATCTTATGGAATGCAAGTTGTGAAGTAGTTTTAAAAATGAAATTTGATTTCGATTGTTGCGTTTATAAAAACAATTATTGATTGTTTATATTGTGGTATTAAATACATTAATTATGAATTGTGTGCTAAATAAGATGCAAATTGTTAGTTCAGTACTTATTATGTCATTATTGATATTTGTTGTTGTTGCTTATCCTCTTCTGGCCTGACGAAGTCAGACCAGATCTATGAACCCGTTGACCTGAAGAAAATCAAACACCAAAAGAGGATTAGAGTAAATGTCTTCCCAGAGAAGACCAAGACAGTTCGGTGTAGATGGCATTTAGGGCAGAGGGGGTAGGTTTTAGTTCCCTCAGAAAATAGTGAACCTTTAAGATGGCCGGTAGCTAGGCAGGAGATGGTGGTGCAGACTCTCCTTTCAAAGGGAATGATCAAAGAAGCTCCAGGCTTATTTCCCTTGTACCAATGGTGGGTGGGGGGAATCAACCAGTTTCTGAGAAGCTGGAATTTCTTCAGGGAAGCTGGGATTTCTTCAGTTCAAGATAGGTAAGATCCGAAGATTATTGATAATTAAAAGTCTTTATTAAGTGGCAATAGTTTAAATGTTTTAATACTAAATTAGTGCGAAAAGAAATCTAGATATGATTTTCTAGATTTTCAACGATGCTACATTTTTTAATCTTTATTTATTTATATTAATGAGACTTTCATATGAGTCAATTAGTAACGATCTTCCCACTTCAAAATATTTTTCACAGAACTATCATAACAAAATCACGCGATCTTTTAAGAGAAAAATAATATAAATGTCTTACATATTTTTTCATATTGAGTGAAACGAGTACAACTCAACTAATTTATTAAAAAATATTTACACAATAAAGCAATTTGCACATTCTTTTACTTTCTTAGTTTGATACAATGACATAAAAGTTTGATTCAGTTTATTTGACAAAATAATATTTATACAACTAAATAAACTGAAGGAGAAATGCAATTCTTTACACTGATTTCAACAAAAGAAAATTGTGATTCGATTTATTTATTAAAATAATAAATATTTACATATAATTGTATACATACAAGAATATAAAATTTCAATAAATAAAACTAACGAACAGTAAATTGACTACGATTTTCTTCAATAAATAGAAATACTGGTATAACACAGAAATATAGTTCTTCTGAATAAATTTCTGCAAGAAAATTGTGAAATCACTTTTGTCCATTATCATTTTTGGCTGAATAGTTTTCTATTTCTTCATCACTTTCTCCTAAGATTCAGGCTGTAAATAAAATAATATTTTATCGAAATAGGTTCGCACTCAAATAACAAACAGAAACACACAAGAAAAACATATTGTTCGACCACCGTAAGAAGACGATTGAATTTAGAAAACTTCATTTCGACGCAATGGATCTAATTGTGATAATAAATGTCATAGACGCAAAGCTTTCCCCCTTTTTCCTATTGTTTCTTTTATCTTCGGCTTCAGTTACATACGGAACCCATTTTAAATGATGGACTCATAACATGATTTGTTTTTTGAATGTTTTTAAACGAACAGTATTACACAAAAATAACTAAATATTACTTAGTATAGAGACGAAAAAAAGCTTTATGGCAACATCGCGTTGTAGGTCGGAGGGGGAATGCAGATTAACCCCTTCCTTTTCGCTCCCGTGAAAATGACGGGGGGAGGTTTCGCCCTCTATTTCTCGCTCCCGTGATATTGACGGGCTGGAGTGTTCAGTAGTAACGTGCCAATAAGAATAAAACTAATTCATTTCTTTTGACCGGAAAACATTTTATTTCTCATTTTACACACCAGGTAGCAGTACCAGGATATTTTTAAGGTAACTTTAGATAGTTAGTTTATTTTAAACTAGTTGCAGCACTAATCAAATACGTAATACAAATACAAAAGCCAAAAAAATAGGCACTTTTATGACCGTTTTCTTGAAAATTAACCGATCGTTAAGGGGTTAGTGCTCGACAATTTCAAAACCAACGACATGATTGTGGCTGTACAACAGTATTGTGCACAATGTCGCTTTTACTTCCAAGACAAGATAGTACCCATTCATCTGAAGGTGTGTGGGCCTCAAGCCGTCACTGAGGATCGAGCCCTAATTCTTTACAACGGCGGCTCAGCGCTTTTCCCCACTGATTCATCGTGGCTCATAATCATTACTACTAAAATCAAAAGTATCGATACACCAGAGAATGAGAATCAACTTTCCAACTTTGACCCGCAATAACTCATCGTTTAAATAAAATTGTAACACGCGATAATTAAATTTGACATTTAATCTATTCGCAGCATGAAATATCTAAACGATAATACAATTAAAATCAGGATTCCTTGAGGAATCTGAGAAAATTCTTGCAATGTTTCTTTTCACAGAACTGCTATAATAGGAGATGTAACCGCAACCCAAAACCTCTCAAGAAGTTGTTCAGGGATCAGGGAACTGGCATTGGATCAGAAAGGTTCTGGGTTTGAATCCCGGGCAAGACATGGATGTTCTTTCATTCTCTGTACTATCTGTCCTTACCGTGGGAGCAACGTTGACCCAACTAATATGGTGTGCCGGAAAGATTGGCCAACTAATCAACTTCATGTGCCTGTAGGACATAGGTCGTTCTTCAGGTGGGCATTGGAAAAAAAGTTTAGTAATTTTAAGCAAAAGATAACGTGAATAAAACACTGAAAGTACATAAAGTGACACACTATAGTTTCAGTTCTATAAACAAGAACCTTCATCAGTGTCTAAACGTCAAATTTTAACTTCGACATCATTAAATAAAGTTGCGCTGCGCGTCCGGCTTAGTTACCATTTTAAAATTTACATGTTGTACAAGATAATTTTGAAAGGTGGTCGCCAAAGGCGGCCAATACCTAAAAATTCCTACTTCATCGGTAACATGGTATCCAGTCCTCCATTAAAGTTTTATCAAACCTTTATTATATTGAGGTACTACGATTCAAGGTACAACTTTAAACCAAATCATTTGAAAGTGTAGATGAATACTATTTTGTTTATCTGCTTAACTGCATCAGGTCGTACCTTATTTAGAGCAGTCTAAGTCGTGTACTTTATGAAGAATTGTAAATGACTTACATTGGCCGGATATACAAATGCTTCTACTTGCGCAACGCCATGAGCATTCTCCGCCACGCAAACATAATTTCCCATGTCACTCCACTTTAGATTCCTGATGATTAGATCTCCACTAGGTAGAACCTGAAGGGGAAAAAAAAGTTACCTCAGTCATATATCAAACAATCATAACATATAAAAGTTTTGAATAAAGCAATTTCAGGGAGCGATATTAAGAGATTTGTCACAGAAATAAATTTTAGACTTTTCAAGTCAAAATTCTTGATGGTTCCATCAAAAAATTTTGATGGTTTATGTTGGTTTTTTCAGTGCAATTCATGATGGTACAACATCATTTGATAGTCACCATCGTCCAACATTTTCCATTCCTTGCTCATGGTGTTTGATATGCCAACAAACTTCCGTCATTCCATGGTGGAAAAGGCTTCTTTAATACTATGATGGTTAACCATCAAGAGAATTCGATTCTCATGAATCAACAATTCATGATGATCCGTGATGATTCCAATTATACATTTCCATGAGTTGGAATACTGGTTGGTTCTCAGAAATATACCATCAAAACAATGTTTTTTTTTTAAATGTAGTACCATCATAAATCAGTCCCAATTCCTACATTGAAGTGATGGTGGTTCATGGCTGTTCCAAGATTTGATTTCTAAGAAACTATGATGGAAATTTCTGTTGGTTCAACATGAACAAACCATCAAAACAAATTGCTATTCTTATGTTGGACCATCGTAAATCAGTCAGAGTTCCTACATTGGGGTGATGGTTACTTTTGTTGGTTACTATCAGAAAATACAATGGTTCATGATGGAATTATTAATGATTTCCATCAAGATTACGTTGGTCTATCTATGGAAAACCATCAAAATCTTTGACTTGGATCTCTAAACCATTTTTTTCGGCTTTTGAACTCAAAGTAATCGACATCTTTTGGCGGAACCTCGAGATTTAATGAATAAATTTCATTGGTAATAGTGAATATATTAATCGAAGATAGAATGCTAATTATTTTGAAAATATTTAATGAATGTATGAAATTTTCTCATCGTAATTTTCTATAAATATTAGTCTGCAAATAGGGTTTTATGCCAGAAAGTTCAATTTATAGATCTGGAACGGCCATCTAGTCTAGTTCATAATTTGTTTTCAGTGTATGCGTAAACCTAAAGTAAGAAATTTGAAACATATTTTTCGCGTGTTGAAATAAAAAGGAAAATTAGCGAAAATAAATTTTGAAAATAGTTGTCTGCAAAACGTACTTTTTCATTGATGTTTTTATTTAATGCGAGGTACTTATGCGATTTTTCAAAAATGCATTAGTTATTCATTACTTGAAAATAAAGTCTTTTTTTTTATTACTTTTATTCCATCACAAGTATTTTACTTAAATATTTTTATAAATATGTAATAGGAGTACTAAAAAATACATAAATAGGAAATAAGTCAGCAAGTTTCAAGCACTCAAAAACAGGCGCCCATTTTCAAGACTTCTCAGACGCGAAGAAACAAAAATGATTTGAAATATAAAACGAAAAGTTGCCAACGAGACATGGGAAAATAAAGGTGTGAAACGAAACTAGAGAAACCATAGTAGCTAAGAGAAAAAAATGATCAAGAAAAAACACAGTAGTCGAGAGGGGCAAATCAGGGTAAAGTGCATTTCCAATCGCTATGGAGAGGTAGTGAGGAACTGTGGAGTGGTAGTCGTTAACTGTGGTTTTACTAGTTTCCTTTCTTACCTTTGTTTTTCAATTTTTCCGCTGACAACTTTTGGTTTCATATCTCAAATCATTTTTGTTTCCTCTCATTCACGTCTGACAAGTCTAGAAAATGGGCGTCTGTTTTTGAGAGCTTGAAACATGCCGACTGTTATTTCCTATTTACATATTTTCGATGCAGATGAGGTTTTTAATCAAGCAATATCTTACGTTTCAATTTTGATAGGCCATAAAAATGCAACTTGAATGTAATTTTGAAAATTTAACCAGTTTAGAATATATAAATGGACCGGAAAAATCAGTTAATAAGCGCTTCTAATCTCTAAATATACAGATCTTTTTCATTATTTATTTTTCTGCATATTTACATTTTTGTACATTTTCAGATTATAACTAGCATACTTTTACCATTATCGAACAAGAACTTTGAGATAATTAAATTGTGGAGTTCTATTTTCGGAATTGTATTCAAGAGATATAGTTAAATTTTAAAAATATACATTTCTATATTTTAATAAAGCATAAGATGAATATTTATTACACTGTGGAATAGATTTTTGCTTGCTTTCTGTTGCATGATATTTTTTTAAATAAATTTTCGACACTTTCGCATCGTGAATTTTAAAACTGTAATCGGTTTTTCTCGTCTAATTGTATATTTTTAAAATAATATTTTTAGTCTATATTTTTGTAGAAATGTAAGTTTAGAAATGCTATATATAT